AAACCGGGAGGGGTGGAGTCTGAACAGCCGGCATCAAAAGGACGCGACTGAGGTGCATTCTTGCCGATCGTTTGAAGAGCCGCTACTGCTGATCCCTGCCGTGTAATGAACAGAATCGAGACGAAAGTAGGCCTCAACTGCCTCTGTATGTAATCCCCACTGCACTTACGACGTGTTCAATTGCACCAATTGATATGACAGGGCGGATTCTACAGCGAACTATCCGGCACTACCACTAATGACACCATGATATTGCTTTGGTACAAGGCATAACAAAATAAGTCGCTTTAAAATGTTCAGATCAAACCCAAAATAATCATGGGCGCATCCTTGATACTATACTTTACGGATTATGACCACGTTCAAAATCACGTTCGTGATACCAGTCATCTATAGCCGGATGACGCTGCGGAACCATGACGTTAGTACACGACCTTCCTGGACATTACAGTGGTGAACATCTTCTGGAGAGACAGCGATGTCTCTATCATGGAAAGGTTTTCTGCAAAGCAGCCCCCACGTTGTGCTCAACTGTGACGCAACGGATAGCCTTCATAGCGGCACTGCGAATACAAAGGTCTGGTTAGTGTTTAAAAGTTTTCCGCCCAATGTGCCAGCTGCGATCGAGTTTAGACGCACTATGTAGAGGTAAATGTCCAGAGACGCGGGAACAGAGCGTGGGGCAAGGGATGTCACGCAAACTTTCCAGCAGTTGTCATAATCCCCCGCCATGTTGTCAAGAAGTGATTATTCTCATGGTGTCTCATAAAAAAGAAAAAAATGATAAGTCTTATCTTACACATTTTGAAGGCACCTACGCCCTAAGCGTCGCCTACAGATGTTTCACACAGCTGGATGTGGAAAAGTTAAGACCAGTTTTCTTTATCTGCGCTGGATGTCATGCATTGCAGTCCCTTGTGAGCAGGCCCGTTTATGGCTCATGGTGGTACCTACCTTGGTGATCATCCGACAGAAGCTGTAGCCGGCTGACCGCCTGCCGCTGTGGTAAGCTCTCGCGCGTCACAGAAAGAGGCGCAAACATCGCATGATGCTGAAGTGGGCGGTGGATGGGACACGTGACAGGTCTTTCCGATGTAGCCTGTGATCCGGGGTGCGGGCGTGGGTGCCGCATCGCTAGCGGCCTTTGCCTGGCCGGTGCGCGGGCGGCAGGCAGACGTTGTGCTGCCGCGCATGTCGCCAGGCTCCAGGTGGGGCGTGCCGGTGGCCATTTGCTCAGTAGGCCATAGGGCTGCCCGATACTGGTCGCCAGATGCGCGCCACCAGACTCCGGCGCCAGTGAAGCGAGGCTCGTGCTCCGGTGTGGTGCGGTGCTGCCCTCTGCAGACGCGACCCGTGGGTGCGGGCAACACGGTCCGGGCGCGGCCTGGCTCGCCGGCTTGCTGGCTGGCTCGCTCGGTACATGTTGACCCTCGGCGCCTGGGTCAGGCTCAAACGCGGGGTTCCTGAGCAATCGGCAGTGAACAAAACCCGTGCGACAGCGTCTCGCGGTGCTTGAGACGCTATAACACACTTTAACTAACAGATATGTCGACAGACATGACGTGGTGTGTTGCTTTCCCCAATTTTTGGGTTAGTGTATGCCAAACAGTTCCGAATTTGGATATCGTGTCGTGAGCAATGTAGCAAAATTGGCGGACATGCTATATCGTGTTAGTTAGCAGCTTGTGTCCGCGTGAATGACTGTCAACCCTGTAGCTGACTAAGCTTCGTCCCTTTAGAACGATCTGTATATTTTAGCCATGCTCTCGAATACATGGAAACATAACCCAACACTGTGTGTCAAAGGTGTGTCAAAGCCTGTTGCTAGAAGAACTACGGTACGCCTAAAGTGCTGCAAATGGGAAGATGTGACGATCAACCTGAACCCGAGAAATATAGAAAATGTATGCCTTCTGTAGCGCTTTCATGTCTCTGGCACACGCAGATGCTGAGGCGGTATTATCTAAAAATTATGCAAGCTTCACACTTTGGTGATCGCCACGAGATGCCATTGCTTTTTATAAACACGGAAGAAATGTTTGCATATATTTGTCCTTGTGAAAACAAAACTAACGAGGACTCAACATTAAACTGTAGTTTCACATCAAGAGGCTGTCATAAATGTCTTCAGCGATGAAAGCGAATGGCTAATTATGTCTGTCGATACACTAGGCGGCGCTCCTGGAGCCCCAAAATCATTATAAAAGCATCTCATCTTCGCTACAATTCTGGAAAAGTTTCCACATGGTCGTCTCGCGTGAAGCAACACTCGCCATCATACAGCGCGTCGGCCGACATTCAGACACGGACCGGGAATACGACTTTCCCTTTGATGCGCTGTAATTGGCCACGCCTTGGCTTAAGCACAACAGAACACCGTGAAATTAGTGTCGCACGCCGAGGCCTCGGTCCATTCTGAATGAAATGGACAGTACTAGAATGTGTCGTGTAATTTTGCTAGATTTCGGTACAACAGACTTCAACACGAGCTGTCACAGCGCTTTGTACAAATACTGCTGATTACAATAGTACGACCGAGCTCGGTAAAGCCCACTCAAATCTTTACAGCGAGTCGTCATCGAGTCGCCTGGAGTTGTTTTTTTTCTCTCTCGCAAGAATCACTTTTTGAATAAAAAATGTCAGGCCTCGTGGGTTAATTTAAGACTGGTTTTGCAGCTAGAACTGGAGATGCCCAGTTTAGACGCATGCATGCGCAAGCATAGTTTAGCCTAAAATGTGGCATGCCATTTTCGACGCACATGTAGAAAAAAAACTATGAAAAACCTATATGCCCCATACCTTTGCCAAAAAGTATGAAGTTTTCCTCGTGCCATTTGCATTTCGCGCTGTTTTCAATCTGCTGCGTAGGTATGTGCAGCAGAAATGAAAAACATGTACGTCGGTCATCATCTTACGAAAAGGTACAACAACGACAACGATACCATAAAATTCTTACAACATTGGCACCAACATTTAAGGGAATGTGCGCAGTGTTTCGGCTCGGACAATAACCTCACCAAGACAACCTTGCCCCATTTAAAGCATGGCTCATCACCGTAACACGCTCATGCCTGCGTGGCCAGCCACCGGCAACGAATAATCTTAACGTTACACGCGACATCAGCCGCCTGCAGCACCGGACCCTCCCGCTTCTGGCGCCGGCCCACCGCCCGCCCGCCGTGTCCATGTGCTCCGCTCACGGGTCGCTGGTGTCGGGCCCAGACTGACTCGAGGTCTGGTCCTCGCTGAACAGAGGATTCTTCACCTCCATCTCTCCACTCTGAAGGCAGAGGACGAGGGGTCAGTGCCGACGCATCGCTCTGTCTCTGACTTTGTCTCTGTCTCTGCCTCTGCCCCCGTCTGCTTCTGCCTCCTCTCTCTCTCTCCCCCTCTCTCTCACTCCATCTCTCGCTCCCTCTCTCTTCCTCTCTCTCTCTCACCCTTTATCTCCCTCTCCCTCTCCCCCTCTCTCTCTCTCACCCTTTCTCTCCCTCTCCCTCTCCCTCTCTCTCCCCATATTCTCTCCTGTTCCCTCCTCTTCCCTCCTCTGCTCTTCTCTCGTCCCCTCTCCCTTCCCTTCCCTCCTCCTTCCCTTCTTTATTTCACCCTGCTTCTCTTCCTCCCTCTTTGCGCACGGGAACACGTACCGGTGCTAGTCCAGGACATTCGTACACGGTGTGCTCCTGCTCGTCGTCCGAGTCCTCATCCGACGGCGAGCCTTGGCGACTGCCCATCGCACGCCTGAGGCCGAAGACACAGTGACAACGCCGACAGACAGCCGATGGATCGCCGCCCCTTTGGACTGGGCAGACCAGTCGCCGAAGGTGGGAGGCGGTCACACACCGGCTGTCGTTCTTTTCGGAGAGGTCGTAGTTCGAACCATGATTGGTCGAATGATACACCTTTGTGTAAAGTATTGGCTGGTAGACACCATTGTGCTACCGTAATGACCTTTGAGTCAATGCTGAGGCCCTGCGGCCGAAAGATAAAAGGGCCGACATTAGAGATGGCAGATGGTATTATGGCGAACAGACGGCGTTGCGAAAGGTATAGACGACATCCGTGTCGAGATGCGCACTAGGCCCGCTGGCCCAAATTACATTTAGCCGGCCTTCAGCAGCTGCATCCAGGCGTGTCAGGAGTTGTTGAGCTTGAAAGGCTCATTTCCACGCGCTCCATTATTCACAACGTGCTCAGACCATAGCCATTAGCGCCAAGCTCGCAGCCGCAGCTGCGCCGTGCAGCTCCCAAGCGCCACTTTCGCCGGCCCGGTGGGACGCTGAGTGGTTCTGCCCAGAGTTTCGGCTCGGCTCGCGCACAAAGCGTGGAAGCAATTAAAAATGCAGGAGAAAAAATCTCGTAAAGGCAAGCGAAAAGCATACTAAATTTGTGTTACCTCAGATAAATCTCAAGTCACCAAGGGTCACAAGATTTCCATTTTTTCATGGACGTATACAGCTACATGAAAAGTTTTCAGCAAAAAATACATCTAAGCAACGAGTCGTGCAATATATTTGTAAGACTGTGAAATTCCATTGATATCCTCACCGTTCCACAAAGTGCACCTGTACGGAGATATAGTCCTTTCTTTTTCTTTCTGGTGAGGACATGCATTAACCGCATTTTATGTGCAATTCTCCCGTTAAGATACTCACTCACCACTTCAGGCCAACCCGAAGGTCAACCAAGGTCAACCAAGGCCCAGTTTTTAAATGAACGGGACAAAACAAATGAGGTCTGGCAGAGTTCACGTGTACATCAGCATCTTTTGGAAATCAGGAAAGACCAATGAACGCTACGGGAAGTCGTATGGGGTCCAGCGAGATTTACACGCTTCCGCCTTCTGCATCATCACAGGAGGGCCGGGAGGATGGATGATAAGGGAATACGCTATACTTTTAAGTGTTATCTGTCTGGGACTTTTCCACCTAAATACATGTCGATGATTTTGGAGATGTCTTGGGGAGAGATATCAGAATCTGCCCACCATGTTATAGATATCATAGTCCACAGAGAATTCGTCTGACTGAGATCCACTTGGTACAGCTGAAATACGCGTCAACGCCATGTCGTTGGTAGCTGCGGTATTAGCGCCAACGGTGTCTCGTCTTCATACAGCTAAACTAGCGAGAAACGCTTGTTGTTGTTTTTGTTGTTTTTTTTGTTGTTGTGTTCTCGGCTGAAGAAATAGAAGGCTCACAGGTCATGGGAGCCATGGGAACCATGGGATTGAGATAAGGGTACGGGTAAAGTAACATCTTTACGAAAATGGGATAGGTTCACAAAAAATGTGTTCCACATTACATTACTGCTGTTTGCATCAATTTTAGTTAATAATCTCCGCCCACACCACTACCATAACTTTCAACCCAAAGCGACAAGTTTGGGTGTAAAATTTTCCGAAACTCCGCTGCAATCTAAACTAAATGTCTGGATGAACTCAACAGGTGGGTGCAGCTTGCTGGTAGATTTTGGATTTAGAATGGGAAATTTTACCCTTGAGAATCTCTATAAAGAGCAAGAGCTTAGCATTCCCTGGCAACTAGTTTGGGTTGTATGGAAATCGTATGCTGGGGTCAGCATATACCCATATTGGGTGGTCATGACCTGAGCCAAGGTCACGGACGCTCAGGCAATAAGATATTAAAATATGTCAGTTGTCATGTCTTTAGTAATGTACGCGTGCCAACTTTCGTAGAAATTAAGCGGAATTTGAGCCAAGCCCAAAATGGGACAGCATATTTCTAAGCAAACTTCACTGGCCTTGAATTCTTTGAAATATCAGAAAATGAAAAACAACAACTAAAGAAACAACGGTGCTGGACGTGTCAAAAATTGCAACATACCATGACTCTCGCAAATAAAAAAATGTATCCGCCCTTAAACGTTACAAATGTGTGCATGTCAAACCAAATCCGCTGGCCTGGCCTTGACCCGACACCTCGCATGACCTCGTGTCAAAACAATGTTGGATGCGTCAAAAGAATCACAGAACAGGTACCCAAGATGAGTCTAAATGGGTGAAGAACCAGAGGAGGGCGTTGCGTTAAACTCTGCCCATACCCAGCTCGGGGTACATGGTGGAAAGCAAGGTTGTTAACAGGGGTGTCAAGTGCTCTGGCGTTTATGAACTTTCGCACGTCATGAGGCCAAACATAAGGACTTACGCAGGAAATATCAATGGGGACATTTTTGAGCACACATGACATCACTTAATCTAAAATTCAATAAACTGACGTTCAGAGGCGCGCAAACACCGAGCCTATTCATTCGCTGCACTTGTGCAGCACTTGTGCCAAACAGATGAGCCAATATCACCCGAGCGACGATATTGCACCATTTCAACAGTTGCGACTGGATATCGCGTGCCAGCAAAGGACACGTGCAGGGCTATGATAGCGAGCCGGACACAGCCCGCCTGGCTCAAGCTGACGCCAGCGACCTACTTAAACACGTGTGCTGGCATTGTGTCCGTCAAAGGGTGTGGCAACAAGTGACAATGACGATGACAATGGTCTGCATGCGATAGCGAGGCGCGCTGCGGAATGACAGCGGAATATTCGTTCGGATGGAAAACGAGCCCTAGAAGGTGAGATTTGAACAGCACCAGAGGAGTGCATCTATTCCACGGGTTAGAAGTTGGGGAAAATTCGAGCTCTCCAGGTGTTTTCTTCCATGCATCATCTAACGTGATGGCTGGTGGAAAACAGTGTTCTTGTCCTCGGACAATGCTTGTTCATGCCTTGAAATATGCTGACCATCCCCAGTAACTTTAATGTAAACTTTCACTCGCGCTGATGAGGCTTAACAATCAAGCTAGTATAAATGTCCAACGACGGGTCTAGCGTTGCAGCCTCCAACGAGAATTCGCCTTCTTTGCTAACGTCTTGCAGCCGCACAGTTGATAGCAACGAAGCTGCGATATAAGCTGCGAAGCTGCTGCGAAGCCGATACTGCGAAGGACATGGATATGTTCGGGTGCGTTTGGATTTTTAGCTCTTTGTTATATAAAGGCCAGTAGCTGGGCGAATGAATGAGCCAATAGCCTTACCTTTGGCCTGGAGGGACACATTTCAGGCACAAAATGGCAGTGCCGTTTACTGTAGTGTCGTAACATACCTGGCCTTGCGGCAACTGGGGGGGGGGGGGGGGGGGGGGGTCCATAAAGTGCTTTGACCTCGTCTGTTTCTGTCAAAAGTCCTATTGGCCATTGTTCCGCCACAGTTACGTCATGTCATGTGATGGCGGCCTTCCAATGCCGTCTTTCCCGTGGCTTTATTTTTGACATCGTGAGAGGTGTCGCTGAAGACCGTTCGTAGTGACCCCTCGTAGCGAATGTGAAAAACGCCGAAGGGCGAGGGTGAAGATTGATATGACATGATGATTGAAGATTGATATGGTCAAATTGACCCCCGAAGGTTTTTCCAGAATGGTTTCCGAACGGCGTGCCGTAGCCGCACTAACGTTTGCATAGCTGTAGACATTCAAATATAGGATCGTTCGACATCAACAATGTAGATGCACCTTATAAATTCGCTGATCTATGCCAGATCAAAGACAGGCCATAGTTTCAGCGAAGGCAATTTCTAGGGAATCCTTTAATCTGATCCAACAGCGGAGTGTTAGACAAAGCCGTACATCTCCGAAATGCTTTCTTAGGCAACACAACAGTTGAATGAACAAAATCCATTGAACTAAGGTCAGGTTCGAAGGTCATACCAAGGTCAAAACCAACCTGTTTTGTTACTCTAGGGCCTGCTGTATGGGATAGTTTCTGGTGTCCATCTCGAGTTGGTTGATAGCGAAAACTGCAATATACATCTGCCATGGCCTTCTTAGAGGTCAGAGTAGGTCATTGACCTAAAATGGCCCGGGTCAACATTTTGCTTTAGGAACATACTGCCTGGTGTAATCTTTGTAACTTAGTCAAACACAAAACTCAAAGCAATCGTGTATTATTTGGGTCACCTTGACCTACAAAAGGCCAAAAAAGGTCACTGAACTTGAATGAGAATGCGACCTTTTGCTTAGAAACGGTTATCTAGGATCTGGAGGCACTTTGGAGACCAACCTGGAACTTGACCTTGTTTGACCTTTTTTGACCCAAAGATCACGACCTAGAAACCTGAAACTTTGACCTAAGTGAGTTAATGTATAGGTCAACACGCTCTGTAAATTTGGTGTCTAGCTTTCTTAGTTCCCGAGACCTCAGGGGGGAGGGGTGTCAAATTGACCCCCCACCCGAGCGAAGGGTATGTAGCCGGCCACCCGGGCGCGTGTTAACATTTCGCCCTACTGACACGGCAGCAAAAACACATGTCAGCAAAATAGCATTTGGCTAAACGCGTTCCAGTCATTAGTCCGGGAACCGTTCACGTGTCACATGATGCTTAGGTTTTGTTATAACTCGGTAACGTTTCTGGGCACAGCGCTGGGAGCCGGCTGGGGCATGACTGGGACTTACCCCTCTTCAATGGCCATCATCTGCTGCTTCTGGTGCTGGTAGTGGTAGAGCTGGGCGGACTGGGCCAGCTTGCGGTCGCCGGAGGGGCTGACGTCATGGTGGGGGCCGGTGACCCCGTACGAGGGCCCGTCTCCCTCCGAGGAGGCCCGGCTCCGACCCCGCTGCATGCTGTGGCAGGGGACGAGAGCGAACGAGGTGAGAGAAAGAGCAGAGAGAGAGAGAGAGAGAGAGAGAGAGAGAGAGAGAGAGAGAGAGAGAGAGAGAGAGAGAGAGGGGGGAGGGGAGAGAGGAGAGGAGAGAGAGGAAGAAAAAGAGCGTTGGAAAGATAAAAATAGAAAGCAGATAGACAGAGAGAAAAAGAAAGAGAAAGAGAGAGCGGGGGCAGGGAAGGGATAGAAAAATATGTCAACAGATGATTTGGGACTGAGAAAGTGCACAGGAGGGAAGACAATCAATACCACAAAATACTACAAGGTATGCACGGTTGTGCGGGTATACTTTCATCAGGTGCACGCAAATAGGTTTGATTCGCTTCTTTTGTTGTACACCTTATCAAACGCTTATTGAAAACAGTCAACTTTTCTATTCATTTATCACGACTGAAAAAGGACTAGCCATCGTGAGCTTAAGTGACAACCCATCAGTACATATGCATCAAGATGTACTTACATTGAGGCCTTTCAAGTTAACGTGCAACGTCCTTCGTTTGGTAAGAGCAAACTAGCAGTGAGTTTAGTAGCATGAGTAGATGCTGATGATATGTTGTCATTCGCCGGAAAGCTGATCGACTAACACCTTCTTTCAGCGACTATCCATCTTTCACTCCCAAATGTAAGTATATTTACACGAGGACCCTTACCAATACTTACTAGCGGTAGCAAAGTCCTCCCAGAATGGTCATACAAACCACCGAGGTGCACACGCCAACGACGGTTACTAGAAAGCAAAATGTGGCAATTAAAACACAGCCTGCGAAGTATTGATGAACTGCATGTCATAACAGTGCAAGCGAGCGTGCCGGGGCTTAAATGGTGCAAACGCCAGCTGTGAACTTGGATGTACATTCAAAGCAGCCCCAAACGTGGGCAAACCTCGCCACAGCATGTCGTGCTTTGTGCGCTGTTCCATTCTCGCACAAAACAGCGCATTAACAATGCACCGTTCCAATAAGTGCGGCGCCCACGCCCAGCTTCAGCAACATTACGAAAGCCTGACGCTCCTCACAGATGAAGTAGATGTCGGACATGTTGTCCTTGCTGGGGTCAGTGCCTGTATGTGCCTCAGCTTGAGGCGCCTCTGCTGCAGTGCTGTCAGGCGGGGCTCTCTTCATCATGGCCTCCTCTCGACCTGGGTTCCCAGCGTTGGGACTGGGGCCCAGCACGGTGTTTGCGCCTCCTCGTCGCTGAGAGGCGGGCGACTGTGTTGCAGCATCCCCTGCCGTAAAACACCGCCATCATCGCAGGCTGCTGATTTTGTACAACGATGTATGCATGGAATTTTAACGTAAATGGTGTTCACAGAAGATTTTTAATGGTGCTACTGTTTTGATTCTGATGCGATGATTTTGTTTAGATTTCTGTTTGACGATTATTTAGTGGATAATGAGCCATATTTAACATGTTTGAAGCATATTGTGACGGAAATCAATTTCCGCTTTTCGCGAAATGTCTGGCGTTGTGCATGGGTTGCATGGTATGAATTTGACAGTATGGACATCAGACTCTTCCCAGTCTGTCTCTCAGGAAAAGTCGTCACGTCCGTTACCTGGTTTGGGACTGTCGGACTGTTGTGCTGCACGAGCCGAGGTGGCCTCCGGACCAATCAGGGTGAGCTGGTGACCGACCGGCTGAAGAGGGGATGTGCATTGTGAGGGTACGCGCTGAATTGGTGCAGTGTGCTCAGGGTAGCATGCGGCACAAGGTAAATTGTCCACAATTATTTGCGCACGCATGTAGGATTTCCCCGAACATTTTGAGTCGCTCGAAAGTATTACACTCATAAGGATGTCTTTAAAACGCATACCACTTTATTGCAGTAGTGATAGATTTAGTGTCGTACAACTGCACAACAACTGTGAAAAATACGATGTAAAGTACAAACTTGGCAGCGACCAACTATGCGTCAAGAAAACGGCAAATATTAAGCTAGTGCATTGCCATATGCTCAACCTCGTAGAAATAAAACTTTAAGTTCAGCCTAAAGTGGTGTATTCTGTTCCTTAACAGAGTGCACACAAGGTGTTGCAAAAGTTCTGATATTTACATCAAAGCCGTTCAGTTTTGGGCTTCAGCACCGAATTTCTTAAGCAATCTATTCTCCAGCGAGATATTCAACTCGACAACAAACTACAACGTATTCAGATAGCATCGGCTTTGTTGCCCAAAACATCCTCACTGTCAAATGGATTGCCGTTGGCATGTCACCGGAGTTCGGGTCACGCGTGGGTGTCTGTTAAGATATTTTTAGGCGACGTGGGAGACCAAGACCAGGACGGGGGAACTTTACCTGCGCCTACCTCAGTGTCTACAGTACCTTAGGTTAGGTCTACGGTTCCAGCACCAGACCACGCCTCAGATTTGGCTTGGAATGCGTCATGTGGAATAGTAACGTCCGCCACAGCAGCGTTAGATAGTGAGCAAGTGCCAGCAACTTCGGCTCTCACCAAGATCATAATCGGTCAAGCCTGACAGAAAGCATGCCTTGCCTGCTAAGACAGCAAGTGCCTGTTACGCCAAACGAAGCAGATACGGATTCCACGATGGTCGGTGTTTGTGTGTCCAGCGGTGACGCCACGACTGTCTGTGACCGTGACCGTGGCTGGCCGTGACCGTAGCTGACCGTGACCATGGCTGGCCGTGACCTTGACTGGCCGTGACCGTGACTCGTCGTGACCCTGGCTGGCCGTGACCGTGGCTTGCCGTGATCATGACTGGCCGTGACCATGACTGGCCGTGACCGTGACTCGTCGTGACCGTGGCTGGCCGTGACCGTGGTTGGCCGTGGTCATGACTGGCCGTGACCGTGGCTGGCTGTGACCGTGGCTGGCCGTGACTGGCCGTGACCGTGGCTGGCCGTGACCGTGACTCGTCGTGACCGTGGCTGGCCGTGACCGTGGCTGGCCGTGATCATGACTGGCCGTGACCGTGGCTGGCTGTGACCGTGGCTGGCCGTGACCGTGGCTGGCCGTGACCGTGGCTGGCCGTGACCGGCGCTGGCCGTGACCGCGGGGAGACCCGCGACGTAGCAGCGCACCTGACCGGATCTGTGCGCAATAGACTGCAGCAGATGAGACTTCACGAGGTTCACGCTCCGGCGTGCGTTTTACCTGCGCTTGTTGAAGCTGGAGAATCTGAGAGATGAGGCTGTCTATGCTTCTCTCTTCTTTCTGAAGCCCTTGGAACATTGCTGCATCTACCAAAAACATGGGTCGTTGCTATTTATAGGTACGCCAGACAGCAGCTAGCATCTTGGAGGTTACAGACGTAACAGTAACGACGACAAATTAGGATGACAGATATGAAGATCAACACTTCACTTGGCCTAAGTGACTGTGGCCGCATGCGAGTCTTAACAGCAAAACCAACATTTTCGCAGAATCAGACTCACAGCTAGCCATCATGGCAGCTCCCATTCAGCTTTATTAGCCATTGAAACTTCCGTGGGTGATTTTGCATTCACTGTTCTGAGAGACTCCATACTTTTATATCGAGTTAATGCAACCCTCGCTGCCTGTAAGAGCATTCGCGAGTCAGGTAAGAGGAGCGGCGGTCCAAATAGCTGAGTAGCGACTCCCTTGCCATTTGGACCCTAACTCAGTTCGAGACGCAGTGCAGAAAAGCAGATGATCAATGACGTAAGCACCCAGCAGCGCCCGGGGTCGTTAATCAGGCTAACCGAGCACCTTTTAAGCACGGTCGACGTTATGTCAGGTTATCATCCCGTTCGGAAATCAAGAGAAAAATGCGTTCTTTCCGTGTTAGAAGTACGCTTCCGTGGCAAAACGCTTGACACCGCGGTCTGGATCGTCTGCAGCAGAAACAAGGAGGAATACTGGTTTATGACCAGCGAATCTTACGAGCTAATGGGCAAGTCGAGACGAGTCATCAGCGGTATCTCAGCTCATTTTACGTTGTAAATGCCATGGGCCAATCCGAAGTGATTTGTTTGCTTGAACACGATCATGTTGTAATAATTAAGGACCATTTTGGCATGCATCATGCCGCCGTCAAACAGCAGAAGAAGACATTTGGAAGATGCATATATTACTGAACAAGCTCTCAGGCATAAAATCATAATTCATTCAACTGAGATGAACTGAACCTGTTACTTTACAGGATACCATACTAATTTCACGTAAGTTGTGCAACACTTGATTGGCAACGCCATATATCGGCTTTCGAGATCTCAGAAAATTTGTTTGGGGTCTTAATCACTCTCTGGCATGGGACCAGTTGGATTTCTGCACAGGCGGCCGTTTTGTAATGCATAATTCATGCGTCATGAACACGAAATACGCTACCAGTGCCCGACCCAGTTTTGACTACACATAATTTCCGTGTCTGGAGGGCCAATTAAAATTTGCTGCGGGAAAGCAGGGAATAAGTTAGAGCATAAGCGCCATAGATTACCAAATTTACGTAAGATCGGGTACGGTAGGATAATATGTATGTTCTTGTAAGGTTGGAGGCTTGTCTCCAGATCATTCTAGACGCGGCAATCGAAAGTTTAGATCGTATTGGGTCTGGGGCTGTAAACTCAAATGCTTTTGACACATTAATCCGAGTGCTCGCATGCCACCGGCTGGGCTGCGGACGTTTGACAGGCACCAAAGGACAGTCAGGTCATTCGTCGGCCACGAAGGATCACGCACACACACTCATGATCATGATATACAAGTTGGGTTGATAAAGCGAACCTTCCAGGCAATGGGTATTATAACTGAGGAACAGGATAAGAGAACGATTGTTCATTTACGAATGAACGAGAGGTAACTCTTTGCCAGGTTACCTGCAACAAAGGCTGCAGGTGATCTGGCAACGCTGACCTGGCAACCTGAAACGAAGCCCTTGCCCGATAACATCATACTTAATGTTTCAAGAGATTAATACTTGTGCAGTTCTTTGATCTCCTCTCAGGCTCCCGAGCTAAGTACGTCGAATTTGTACTCTGTGTACATTGCCGCAGCTGTTTTTGGCCTAGACTTAGCAGGACCCACTATTGATTACTTGCACGCTCACTCATGCCGCTTTTGGCCCCGCAGGCTGACTTGATGAATCGATCGCTTGCTCTCGCTCACTAGTCTGTATGGCCTTGTCCGCCACCATTTCCCTGCCATTTGACCTCTGAGTAGGACGTATATATCCGAATCGGTCTCTACGCAACTTGCTAACTAGGAGATACAAAGGCCTTAATTATAATCTGTTCGGAAATCCAGGCCACATTACCCTCGCTCTTGGGAACAAAAGTGAATCTGCGCTTCTCCGCTACTCAACAGTATAATATAGCAGGGCAACACTATTAAGACAGCGGTCTTTTGAACAAATAGGTTGCTAATAACACAGCCCTTGACCATTCTGGGATTCGTTGCTCTTCTTGCGGCCTACCGTCCTTATAAAAAAACGCATCCATATAACCTGCACCGCATTATCCTCTCGGGTGACTTTGGCAACTAAAAAGCGGCTGCGCGCACCTCCTGCACTTCGCAGTGCAATCATAACCTCAAACGTGAGGCGTCAAAATGCCGCGGGTGCACATTCCACGCTGCCATCTGAAGCAACCTCCGTCACCAAACGCACGCCTGGCGGAGAATAAAGCCATCTGAGCGTGCTCTGCCGGTCGCGCGGGCCGGCTCGGGGCCGTTTGATGCACACAGACGCGGCTGACGACGGCGACAGCTGACAGCGCGCTCAGTGTCGCGCTCTGTCACACGTCAACGGGCCGGTGAGGACCCGCATAGCCGTCCCGGTCGCCTGGAGCCCGCACGCTCGCCCCTGTGAGCTGCTGTCGGGAGCGGGACTTGGGATGCCGGGGAGAGATAGGAGCGGTTCCTTGAAATGGGGATCTACCTGGGGAGCATTACCCCGAGCTGTCGATTCAATCTCACAGGTACTGCAGGTATGCAAGCTGAAAAAATGGTTTCAACCAACAGCGCAAGGTTTGAAATTACGGTGGACGTTATTTACATGTTGTCAACGTGTTGATAAAGCATGATATGTGCTTAAAAGGTTTCACCGTAAGCAAGGAAAGCCCAGTTTGCCCCCATGCTTTAGTTCAATCAAGCTTTAATTCAGTTTGTACTCATCCATTTGCACCCATCTACCGCGATTACAAAAACCAAGGGAGCCCCCCCCCCCCCCCACCGGAAGGGCCTCCAATTTCCAACCAGATGGCCGCTGGGCTGACCGTTTTGGTCGCCCTCTGCCCCGGCCCGACCGTGCCCGAGCCGGCCCAGTGCTCACCTTGTGCGCTGGTGAGAGCGCCGGTGAGAGCACCGCCGAACCAGAGGAGTGCGGTGAGCACGAGCGGCGCCCGCCGGGCCCGCATCGTGGCCCGCGGGTGGCGGACCTGCCGCGCTTCTGAGCCGGCCGCCGGACGCGGCCCCCGAGCAGGCAGGCCCGGCCAATCGATACACGCCACACTGTTGCCGCCCGCGCGCTGACGTCATCCAGGTGTGACGTCACGTGACCCGGAGGGTCAGTCGGTTGGTCGGAGGAGGGGGGCTTGGAGGTGAGCGGGCCACGTGAGGGTTGAATGTGTGCTCCACTGGGGCTTGGAGGCTTGTGGGTGGGCGGTGTTCTGGGATGATGACTGGAGAGCAGAGAATCGCAATGATTGGCGTTGAGTGGATGCACAATGCATGCGCTAGCGTTGAGACTGGGCGTGCGTGTTCGCCAGTAGGAGAGATCAAAAGGTCCGTTGCTGACGAATGCATGGTAGTACATATAAGTGGCGGGCTCAAAAGGTCCGCTATCTATTTTGGTGGGCTTTGCTGATAAGGTTAACTGGAGATGCGGTAGAAGGAATCCTATTCACCATCTGGTGTGACAGGCAAAGTCTGTCTGTCACAAGCACTATAACAGGTACTATCTTTGCCACAATTTTGTCGATTCTGAATTCCTTACATTCACGCTGTCCAAGATTTCTTCGGTAAAGAAGTCGAATTGTCTAAAAAAAAACTTGCGAATTTGGACCAGCTTCCTGCGAAATCACCCGCTACATATATATATATATATATATATATATATATATATATATATATATATATATATATATATATATAGTATTTATCATATTTATTCATCTGAAATAATTAAAGCACCTAATTTGAATTCCAAGATAATTGAACAAAAGACGATTGGTTACAACGGGAACGAGGATGGCTGGAAAGTCCTGTCAGCTATCTTAAATTTTGGTTATGTCTAATGTTATTGGCCTTAAATTAGTCTTGTGTCATTAAATAGGTCATCCTTAGAGCCAATTAGAAGCTGGAATGAAAACGATGCTTAGCTTGTCTATAGCGCAAACTGAGATGAGTCCCACAGCGTCAGTCCTATCAACGCAACCACGACAGCGGCCGATTACGTGCTGCGTGCAGTTATTGATTTTCTCCCCGGTGAGAAAGCTTCTTTCCGTCGACATCTATAGAAGACTGGAAGCGGTCTATAGAGGCCAGTGAGTGGACGTGGGTACCGTGCGCCGTCGGGCGGAAGGGCTAAACATGATGATGACGCTACATATCCGAAACCTGTGTGGCAAGCAGAGGATGGGAGGGGGGGGGGGGGCGTCACGGCAACGAACGAAACTCATCCAAAACTTGTCAGAAAACTGATTCAAGAAAATCGTGGCATCAAGCAAAAGGAAAACGTGCCTGACCGAGTAGAACATTGCTGAAGGAAGTTTCGGTCACGTAATCAGTGCCCTTGAATACCGTAAAGTTTGCATCAGGTGGGCGCCTCACTAGCTGACTGATGAGATGAACGCTGATTGCGGTTGCGTTCAGTGTTCAGTCCAGCACTGGACTTCGCAAGATAGCCGAAAGATGATCAACAGTACAAATGGCAGGAGAGAAGGTAGAGGACGGGCGAGAGTACAGGGAGCAGGGAGCGGGAAATAGCTGGGCACAGTACAACGGACGGCGAGGCAGCACGAAGAGCAGGCTAGAATACTGGCCATATGGCCGGGCAGACCACTGGCCACAGGGCTGGGCAGAACAGTGGATCGCGCAGGACAGGCGACAGGTCAAGCCAAAGTGTACGAGGCAGAACAAAGGGCAAGGTCCTGGACGTGGGTTCTGACCAGGACAGAAAATAGGGAGGGCAGGGGTAGAGAACTAACGACGAAGGGTAGAAACAGTGAACAGTGGGCAGAACAGAGCACAACCAATCCTGCCCTGTTCTGCCCTGCCCTGCCCTGCCCTGCCTTGCCCTACCCTACCCTGCCCTGCCCTGCCCTGCCCTGCCCTGCCCTGCCCTGCCCTGCCCTGCCCTGCCCTGCCCTGCCCTGCCCTGTCCTGTCCCGTCCTGCCTGCTCTATCCCGTACAGTAACAGACAGGACGGGACTAGAAGAAATACGAGTAAGCGGGACGGGACGGGATGGGACGGTGCGAACGCTACTGAGCGGGGAGGAGCAGACTCCGTCCCGGCCTATCCTTTGCCGTGCTCTGTACTTCGTCCTGCCCTGCATCCTGTTCCGTCTGTATCCTGTTTTTCTCTCCTGCTCTGTCTCGTTTCCTTCCCTGTAATTTGTCGCTACCTATGGTGCTTGGTATGATGTAACTAATCATTGATCTTTAAATGTGATTGGTTTACTGGTCGACTTTGCACCAATATGCGTCATATATAATCTGAATTCGGTATAGGTTGACGCAAAATGGACTTTGTGGTGGCCTGGTGTGACATCATGATGTACAATTGAGACTGACTGGCACGGCGTTGAGCCAGTTGATTTGCTACAGGTAGTTCGTGACGGAGGCATAGCACTACACCACCAAATATCTGCGCTGATTACCATGGCCGATGTATCGACTTGTGTGACCTTTTACGCGTGCAGTTCTACTGAGGGTTCGCGTGTGTATCTTATATGTGCTCCACCCATTTTCGGTACATATATTTTTTTTTGTGTGAAGGCGGTGATGCTTTTCGCATGAAGTTGAGGTCTGGAATTTTTGCTCTGAAAATTGTGAACTGCCCTGCTTATAGAAACAGCCGAAATTTGCCCACTAGTCCACTCTTCGTGTGGACTTTTACAATCCTCATAATTGCCGGAGCTTCCTCTGGACTGCAACAACAGATATCAGGCGCTTCTTACAGGAGACATCTTAACAAAGAACTGAATGAGGCTTGTCGACAACTAGCATGACGAGCAAATCTGTATTATTTCTTATTACAATAGGACTATGTACCTGCATGGCTTTTGTTAACTCGCCTATTATTGATTATCTTTCGCATGACCTGGTGCAGTTTTTGGCAACCCACTGTATTTAGGCGACACGCGCAGGTCTGATCTTGCATCTTCAGTATTTCTGCAGCAGCAGCGTGGCAGCGCAGCAGCTTAGTGCAGACGGCCGCGCAAGCCTACTAATCAAGCCCCTTACACGTGACCTGGCCTACTATTAAAATACTTCAAATTGATCATTTGAGAGTTGTTGGAAATGGAATGTATTCAGTTCAAACAGTTCCGAATTGTGCCGGAAAAGTGCCGACTTTTACGCCTTTTACAACTGCTGTCATGCGAAATATTGCGTCAGCCAGGCAAGCTACCGCGTTCGTGGCGTCCATAATTGCTTTGAACACGCCTACTTGTCGCGGAGGTTTGCGAAAGCTACGCACGTAGTTTATTCGTATTTTTGTGTTTTTGCCCAAGGCGCTTTATGAGTTTGTCGTGAGGAGCTGATGTGGAGTTATGCAATAGCATGACGACAGATGCCGCTTCTGGTCAGCCCCCGCCCCCTCCTGCCGGCGGCTCGTCCCTGCCGAAGGCTGTGTAAGGAGAGTCCAGGCCGGCCGGAGGATCTAAGGACCAGTTCAGAACGCGTCGCCGGTGTCCACTCCGCTGGCTGACGGGGAGTGAGCAGAGTGTGATAGTGTTGCTGGGTGAAGTATCGGAATTTTGACTGAGTGAGCCATCGGGCGTGCACAGCAGGGGACACAATACCGCGACACGGTGAACCATGTTTCTGAGCGGGGTTACCGCAAGCACTTCCGTGTGCTGGAAAGCCTGATAGCACCCACAACGGTAGAAGAAAGATCCTGCAAAGATCCCGTTCAGATTTTGTGACGCCATTTTGAGCCGCGGATGCGAGAACCTATGCTGTAATTCCGGTTTCTACCGTGCTTTCGTGATGCCCGTAAATCTGCCACCCCGTAACTGACAGGACCGCGCAGGCTGACTAGGCCATGAAGTTAGACCCGAGTGTATGGGACACGGAGCGGCTGCAGCCGCGGCTGACCAACCTGCGACTGACTGACTGTAGGGGCCGTAACAGTTGAGTCATCAGCACTGTCGGCTCCTACGTGTAGGCCCAGGTTCGAAACCCGCTTGTGCCATGCCTCTGAACGCTATGGTTCCCGCAGTCGCTGGTGCTCCACAAAAGGATGCGTGACGATGTGCATCACGTTCCCTAAAAAAAAAACACTTCGGCGACAGCCGTGGAGACGTTTCAGTCGTCCACGCCACGGGCCGTTTGGGTCAGTTTAGGCCGGCCGTCTGACTGAATTGACAGTACAGAATCAGACACCGGTGTGTCCATGTCATCAGCCAAGAGCGGGATTTCGTGTCCGCTGGCGGAAGCCTCCTGCTGCGCGCCCGCACATAGCCCGAAGAAGGCCCCATTGTGCGGGGTAAGCCTCGGTAGCGGAGGATCTCCATACACATGTAGTCTTGATCAACGACCCTCTTCTTGTATCCACGACCTTCATCACGTAACCCCGAAAGCTTGATTATTGACTTGAAGGGCTCTAATCGCAACTTAACCCAAATCCTATTTTTCCTGCCCTGAATCCAGTCTTGCAGATAGATAGATTGTATTTAGAATCCTCCATAATACGACTTTCCGGCATCCACGTCACACACACTGGACACGACAGTAAAAAGACATGGACATCGCACACGGCGACAAAAACGGCGCAACAGATTCGTCTCGATCACCGGTAAGCCACTAGGCCGTCCTTAAAGGCCAAGGCACTGCTAGTAGAAGACAGGCGAACGTCTGGTGAAGCGAGCTCCATACGGTAGTCGTTCCGGGAAAATATGATCGGCGTGTGATCACGATGCGCGCTCGCGGGAGCTGCAACATACCGCCAGCTGCGGCCCGAGTGGCACGCGAGGACGCCGAGGCACGACCGGCCTCGGGTGCACGGGTATCCGACAGAATGCTCCAAACCGTCATTGTCTCGTTCGGTGATCACAACAGGTTGTTTTAGGAGCACACAACCCAGGCCGTGTGGGTGACACATGATCGCGATCATTTAGCTCGGCGACGATGTGAGGGCCGGGGTTCAGTGCTTTTTGAGCCCTCTGTTTCTGTGCAGCTGAGCA